TCTTTTTATTTGATGCAAATCTGTGTCATTTGGAAATAAAACTGACACAATTATTGGAAATGAATAATTTATTGGAAATAAATAATTGTGTATAACTGCTATGATAAAGAAAAAGTGGGGGCTAAATCATGAGGACTTTGAGTGATGAGTAAAGAAAAGTGTTATTTTTCAGTTACATAGATTCTGATTATGGTCTTACTTTGCTTGACATTCCTGATCATCTGGCCATAAGAAACTCCAAAGTGCAATCACTTGCTGGGAAGAGAGCCAATGAGGTGGATATAGTAGAGGTTGAGAGGTAGAAATAGAATCAGACCAAATATTGAGAATCATTTCATGAAGAATATCACTCAAATAAGCCTCACTCTCATTTGTCTTAAGACCTAGTACAGGAAATCACAGGACTATCGGAATTTTGATAAGACTTTCTGAAGTACCAGCCTTCAGTTCATTCCCTACAGTCATCTCTCCAGAGAAGTGTTCTGTAGTGACAACCAACGCAGGGGACTCTTCCTTTTGCCACGGATCAGCTTATCACCTCCAATAAGAAGAATGGAAGAAAGGTAAAACTTTTATAAGAACTCATTCCCAAAGCTGTGTCTTTTCTCTATTAGTCCACAATCAGATAAATTCACCTTGAGGTGGAGGATACAAGGAGCTTGATGTGTTCTAGCAGGAACAGACAAGGCACATGACAGTTTCTCCTGGCAGCATTGAGGGCTGACAAGGTTGAGTGTGAGAGCTATGAAAGCTGCAAACCAAGACAGTTGTCTTTTGTTGGACCTTCTCCCCATTCTGTGCTTAACTATAACTATACTTTGCTTGGAATTCCTGATCATCTGGCCATAAGAAATCCCAATCTGCAATTACTTGCTGGGAAGAGGAGCCAGTGAGGTGGATATAGTAGAGGTATATAATCTATTCAAATTATTGGTAGAGTGAGAAATCTGCTGCTTTCCTAATTTAGGTGACAATATACATGGATGTATGCTTTTGAAAACTAAAGTGCTGTGAAGAAACCAGTCACTCATGTTACTTGTGTTGGAATTTCTCTAAGCATCCACATAAAATAGATGATCCAAAAATGAATGAGAAGAGTTTAACCAAGGTAGAATTTACCAATAAGTGCATGGTTGGGGAAAGTTACATGGAATGTGAATCTCATTCCTTCCCTAGGAAAATAATATGGAGTAGAGAGAGGTTCATATTTCACTATGTTTAGAAACAATAGGATAGAAATTATCAGAATTAAGAGCACCTGAGGTGAACTAACAGCACCTGAGGTGAATTCTGCCCTTGCTGCCCAGAGGTTCCTGTCTTGGTTCACTATGGTCCTCTTGTCTTGTTTAAGTTCAGGACACTCTACATAGAGTGACTCGGGCCTTTGCAGTGGCAGAAATGGGCTTCTACTCTGGGAACTGTTGTACAATTACCTCTTGTTGTTCCATGTCTTAGATTTTTCTTCCTTATTCCCCTCAAAATTTGCCTCTTCCATTTTAATAAGAGAGGTGTGTGAATTATAAACTATAAATGATACAAGTAAAATACCTCATCCTCTATCCCTTCGTCATGTGTAGTGAACACACAACACTGGCAGTGGTCAGGTCTCGTGAAGGATGAAGATTCTGATCCAAACCTGTGGGTTTTAATCCAGGCAGTATTAGTTTTTGAATTGAGACCTGAAGAAAATCTCTTAATATTTGCCACAGATAGCTATGTAGAAAATTAAAGTGAATTAATCCTTCAACCAATTGCTAAAGTTCACCTTCCTGAGAGTTCCTACTTGTTTCCCAACTGATTTGTGCATGAGCATCTCTCTTTTCACCAAAGT